GTTTCCTTGCAGTAAATCTGTTGCAGAGCCTGTGTGCCCTCTTTGCCAATACGATGTGTCACTGACGCACATAGTTTTTCTTTTTGACGTGTCACTGACGCACATAGTTTTTTTTTTTTACGTGTCACTGACGCACATACTGTAGATCTTTGTTTTTAATGCGTCACTGATAGAGTTTTAATGCAACATAAATAGTTATGCTTTTTTTCCTTGCTCACAATCTTGAAAAACATCTTACTATAGTTTGCAATTTGGTGAAATGAAATTGACATTTTATAAACAAAATGATTATTTGGAAATCAGGTGACAATACATTTTAGTTTATGTCATCAGAAACTCCATACAACGACATGCAATTTTCATGGGACATGCTGATTTAGCACATTTTTTTTCTTTTCAAAATTAATACAAATGTTTGCGAGTTTGGGAACACATGAAATTTTGTAGCATTTCATAAGGGGTCTTTAAGTCGGCAAGTCAATTTACCTTAATTTTATCTGCAAAAATTCCCTCACATTATCAAATCACAAAATTGGATTAGGGAGCGTTGAAATCAAACTGTTTAATATGATTGTTTGACCACAGAATGTCAAATATTAAAGTAAGACCTACTCATAATTTGTTAAAAAAGTTGGTCATAAATTGCATGAACTGTTCATTATTAAGTAAAATCATGAAGCTATTGTCCCATGGCACCATGAATTAATTTTCTTTTGTGGGTTACTTTTTGAAAAATTGTTATTTTTAGAACAATTCCATAGACCACAATGCTATTGCATTGTTTGATACTTTTCAAACCTTAGATTTTTTAGTTAATTCTAGACAACAAAACGTACCCCACCACAATATATTATATTTTCAGTCTATTTCACCAGCCTACAATTTGAGATAAGGTATAATATCTCTACTATAGGAACCTATGGTAAAAGCATACTGACAAAATTGGTTATTATCCACTAAAATACAACCACATCTTCTCAAAAATTTGGCTGGTGACTGTCAATTTATTTAAAGTCAATATCATTATATTGTCCCGGAGCACAATTTATTGCAAAATGAAAGAATTCTGCGTATTATGAGGTTATTATGAGGATACCTCAAAGGTTGCACAAAGTCAGTACAGTAAAAATATTGACCAACGCACAGCGGAGGACAATGCGCGGCGCACTTTATTATTAGAGGACGCTTAGGCGCGTAATCATTCCATATTTGGAATTCGCATTTCCTAATATGGTAGAATGAATATAAACCGTAAAATACCGCAAAATTACAGCACGCTGTCACTTACAGCGTTACAGTGACAGACGTATATTAATTGCTTTTATAAATAGGCTTCTACCTTAAAGATAAAGATTCACACAATAAAATGAAACCATGGCATTGCTATTAAAACCTTGCCCATGGTATGTACAATTTATAAATTGGGCCACATTTAAGGTAGCAATGGGGAAAAAATTGATCTAGGATTCAGAAATTCTATAAAAGTTACTAAGCTTGCCATAAATAACCTATACATCATCTGAAAGCTTGAATATAGATGAATATGGTAGTGATTATGTCAAACCAAGAGATTACCTTGCGGCCAATTTCACTATAATTGGCAAGAATAAAGGGAATCACTAAGCAGTGTTCTCCCCAGGATTTCGTCAAAGATGGAGGCTAATTTGCATAATAATTAGAACACGATTTTTTTTAATTTATTCATAATGTTCGTACATTTTTTTAATTATTCGTAAACTGCTTATATATTTGTATTACCATATTACTTTTAGTTTTATAATTTAGAATGAAGACACGAGTCA